CTTAGAACTTGTCTGAAATGGTTTGTTTCAACATTGCTTCAGGCGTCACCAAGTTTGTTCGTTGGTCAACATTCCACACAATATACTCAGCTGTATGAGTGCAGACTTTTCTAAGTTACTGAACTATTGAGTACAGACCAGACAAGCCAGTGACTGATCAGAACAATGCCCCATGTTACCATGCAAGGTTGCATTCTTAGCACAATCTTCTTCACCTTCCGTTTGGGAACCTTAAATGTCAGCAGCAGCTAGCATTTGACAATTTCAATCTGATAACCAGGTAACTGACAGTTAAGTATTTGTTCGACAAAACATGGAAAGTTCTTTGTCAAAAGTTAAATCCTGGTTGCCATCATGTACGTTAAAACTAATTGATAAAAAGATGGAAATTATTTCGATAGGTCCCCAGTATGTTTTAGGAACTATAACACTGAAAAACTCACAACTCCCACATTCCTGTTACTCTTGCTGTACGAGCTCTACTCATCCACAATAACCCTAGTCTCAGCATTGAATGTCAAATTAATCACCTGTCCTAAATTTGCTATTCAGGAACATTACATCTCCTCATCCAAATCCATTGCCAGGCTTGTTCAATCTAACACAGACCGTGCCAGAGCAGCTGCCACAAGTCTTCTCAATATGTAAGTCACTGATCTTGCAAATATCTCAGTCAGCCACTGACCACCAAAATCAATACATCTTGAGACTGACCATATACTGGACAAGTGATCATGAGAACCCATCAAGGTATCAGGAGGTTTATTTAAGCTGCGTCGCCACTCAATCAATGTGAAGTGTTTGACCTGTCACATCAATACTATCAATATCTTGCATGTGGATTCTGGAATCTGGGCTATTAGAAGTATCAAAGTCAGGCTGTACAACTTACAGTCAGGGGACCTTCATCACCACAGCAACCAGACACACAAAGGAATCTACCCAAACAGTACTTTTCTGTTCTTTTATGCTTATGGCAAGTACATTTATCTTTCTGTTTTGGGGAACTGGCCACATGATTTTCTAGGGAACTGAACAGTTTCAGGATGTTGAGGTTATCCATCAAACAGCGTATTTCTTTACCTATGATTTTAGATATAAATTACATTTCTCTAGTTTTTATGGATGACAACATTTTCTATCAAAATGTCCCGACTTTCTCCTCCCTAGAAGACCAAAGCTCCCTTAAAGGTATTCTGTGGGTAGGAAGAAGAAGATGCAATCAACAACTTTCAACTAGCGTGAAGGTCTCCGCAAACTATAACTTATTAATATCTGGCATACTTTAAACATATGCACCCTTGACATACACACAAGGTTTACCTTGCTTAAAATATGGATCAATTAATATGATATTTCTAATAGGTAGAAACAAAATATTTCCTTTTGTTTCATGTCATTAAGATGCTGCAAAGATGGTTGACAGTTTCAACAGGAGGATTCAAACCCTCAATAACTTCAAGGCAACTATTGCTGTGTACAGTGGAGGTAACTAATGTGACCCCATCATGTTTTCTTGCCCAGTGATGAGAATCTTGAACTGAAGCAGTTCGAACAAGCATTCTCAATAAGGTGACATAATCCCCCGACGCAAATTATCAAATCAAACTTATAGAGTGATGAAAGTTTAAGATGAAGTTAAATGTCAACAAAAACATGACCAGTCAACCTCTCTTGATATCAGGCTCTTTAGTTGTTCAAACACACACGTTTTCAAGACTGACTTTGATCTTGACATGAATGTCATAGTGTATGAAATATGCACAAATAGTACTAAAGAAATTGCTTATTGAAAAACATTCAAGAGAAGTCTTGAAAGTCTATGAAGAAAATCCAGTGAACCGTTTTTGAAATATCTTGCTGACAATTCAGGTTAACAAGCTGAAATCTTCAAAGTGTCGTCTTGACCCTGAAAATTATGTGCAGGTCACCAAAATTGACTGGGCCCTGGGCCTTCCCTGGATGAAGCATGGTGTCAAATATGAAGAAAATGCAATTAATATTTATTGCAATATCTTGCTGACTATCTTAACATGCAATTTAACATGCTGAAATCTTCAAAGTGTCTCTGTGACCTTGAAAATTAAGTGAAGGTCACCAAAATTGACTGGGCCCTGCGCCTTCCCTAGATAAAGCTTGGTTTCAAATATGAAGAAATCCAGTGAACAGTTCTTGAGATAGCTTAACATGCAGGTTTACATGCTGAAATCTTCAAAGTGTCGCCATGACCTTGAAAATTATGTGAAGGTCACCAAAATCGACAGGGCCCTGCGCCTTCCCTAGATAAAGCTTGGTATTGAATATGAACAAAATCCAGTCAACGGTTCTTGAGATAGTTTAACAGGCCAAAACATTAAAGTCCCCTTGTGACCTTGAAATGAAGGTCAAGGACACCAAACCTGATTTGGACCTTTCTTATACTGTGATGAACCTAGGTACCAAATATAAAAAGAATTTAGAGAACGGTTCTTAAGATATTCCAATTCGTCCGTACGGACAGAAGGACAGAGCCTAATACTATATCCCCGCTTCGTGCTAAACGCACGGCGGGGGGTAAATATCTTTGTATAATGAGTAATTTGTATGACAGCAATATCTTTGCATAATAAGTAATTTATATGACAGTATGATCTTGATGAAATAAGTAATCTTTTGGCATTGCATTTTTTACCAATGCATTTCTTAACCCAGACTCAAACTGTCAATCACAGTCCAAACAAGTAACTAACAACTGGCTGCTTATGTGATACATTACATGTGTTCGGCTAGGTCTCTACAAAAGGCATAACACATTCCACTTAATGCCGGCTTTCTCAGTGTTACCCATATCCTTTCAATCTATTCAATAACACAAGCAAGCATTATGCACTCCACCAGGTTGAACACAATGGCTCCCTTTCTGGACAGCTGATACATCAGCATATATTCAAAGGCAAAAGGCAGTGTGACATGGACTCTTTTCACTTACAAACATTAACATAATTTTTTTTACATCTAAACCATGAAAAAGGTTTATCAGGTTTATGAAAAGGTTTGAAGAAATACCTTTAATGTAAACTGAAACACAAGAAAAGAAAAGAAATATCAGAAGTGATCGTTTCAAATAGATGGCCAAATTTATCCCTTTTTTGTAGTGAGTAAGTATAGTTTTACGCTGCTTTTAGCAATATTCCAGCAATATCACGGCAGGGGACGCCGTCGTGCCGAACTAAAGCTTCAACAATTAGGCTACCTCACCACACTTCTCTGTAAAGAGCCAGATATCCAATCCAGTTTCTACACATCAACTTGTTTTGTCTTGAATGGAATAAATCTGCCTCATTACTCCTACTTGGGAAATATAGCTGACAACACATCTGATTTGTATTTGTTTGTTACATAACGCAGGTCAGCACTTTCCTCTTTTCAAAATGGATGCCAACAATTTCAATTACAAAAGGGTAATGCTACTTGAATATTTCAGTTTATCTAAACTGTAGATTTCATAGAAAATACAAATGACATCTCTATAAAATAATGTTGAGAAATACCGTATATGACCGTCTCTATAAGCCGAAGTTTGAGGACCAAAAAAAGCAGTCTGTAGAAGGGGGTCGTCTTATCCATGGGTTACACTTTCGTCAAACTTTTTTCCAGGGGTAAGAAAACAACATCGTATCACTTCGTGTGAACAAACAACAGAAGACGACTTTGTCAGTAGAGACGTCAAATTTGCAATTAAACATCACTAGACAAGATTATTAACCTTTTAAGTTACTAGTATAAGTTGTTTTTGCTGGGCATTGTATTATTTGCAGGGACTAAGATTACCGTGCGTATTTGTCTCGTACACAAAGCCGGAAATAGCAATCAGCTGTGCACATGTTTCCCGGCGAACAAGTTCAAACATGCACAATAATGTAACGGGACGAATTCTGACGCAATCATCAGTAAAATATAATACAGAATACCATTATTTAACCCAAAGAAATATATCCTAGCATTGTGTAATTTTAGTTACAGTTTTTGCTCTATAAATTAATTAAGATTACCGTGTGTATTTGAGCCGGAAATAGCAATCAGCTGCATTTTTGCACACGTTTCTCGGCGAACAAGATCAAACATGCACAATAATATAACGGGATGAATTCTGACGCAGTCGTCAGTAAAATATAATACAGAATACTATTATTTAACCCCCAAAAATATATCCTAGCATTGTGTAATTTTATTTACAGTTTTTATGTAAAATATATATAATCAACACTAAGGTTATACGGACCCTCATGAACGTGGTACGCACATGGAATGGGGTAAAATACGGACGCCATTTAAATTCACACATTTTTACCGATGTTACTGTAAACTAGCAGTCAATGGAAAACGAGGCGGTAATCAGTTCGTGATTGTTGAATGGGGTAAAATAAGCAAGCCAGTTTGTTGCTACAATAAATATGATATTTAGAGAAGCAAAATATATTATGCATTTTCTGTCAACTACACTTCGTTTCGATCCGTGAGTAGACACAATATATATGACAGTGAATTCTTTGAATAATGTGGACCAAAGTTATAATTATTGGTAACTGCCAGTTGTCTGTGGTCTGTGTTTGCCGTGATTAGGACCCCATCGCGGGGGATCGACTTATGCACGAAACATACCATTTTGACACTGATTTTAAGGGTCAAGTTTGGGGGTTGTCTTATCCATGGGGTCGTCTTATAGACGGTCATATACGGTACACTCAAAGTTCAGACTGACAGTAGTTCACTTTCTAACATCTAACATTAAAATCCCCAGTTCTCTTCGTCAGACAGCTCCTGAATGTGTATACAATAAGATCGTATCAGTAAAATTACTAAACATTCTAGAAAATCAAGTGAAGCCTGAAACATTTTGGGCCCTCTGTGTTGGTGCCTTGGAGTCCCAAACGTGGCAAGAAGCCAGGTCAATTCCTGGGTAAAGATGGTAATTGCAGAATAATGATGCCTATTACAGCAACAGTGGCTGGAGCTCTTACCTGCAAACACTCCAAGAACGCTGACAGGAACAATCAACCCATCTTTACAGACTCGGTACAATGGGTAACCTCCAGGTCTATCTGGTTATCATATCTGAAACAAGGCAGTAAACCATTATTAGGGATGGTTATCGTATGTGAAACAAGGCAGTAAACCATTATTAGGGATGGTTATCATATCTGAAACAAGGCAGTAAACCATTATTAGGGATGGTTATCATATCTGAAACAAGGCAGTAAACCATTATTAGGGATGGTTATCATATCTGAAACAAGGCAGTAAACCATTATTAGGGATGGTTATCATATCTGAAACAAGGCAGTAAACCATTATTAGGGATGGTTATCATATCTGAAACAAGGCAGTAAACCATTATTAGGGATGGTTATCGTATGTGAAACAAGGCAGTAAACCATTATTAGGGATGGTTATCGTATGTGAAACAAGGCAGTAAACCATTATTAGGGATGGTTATCAGGTTATCATACCTGAACAAGGAAGTAAACCATTATCAGGGATGGTTATCTGGTTATCATATCTGAAACAAAGAAGTAAGCAGACATCAGGGATGGTTATCTGGTTATCATATTTGAAACAAGGCTGTAAACCATCATTTGGGATGGTTATCTGGTTATCTTATCTGAAACAAGGATGTAAACCATTATTAGGAATGGTTATCTGCATATGCAAATAGTGAATATCAAAGACCTACATAACTTTCACCCATGAAGATCTGGGTTAGAATTGGTCTTCATCAATACATGCTTGTCGAGGCAACTATCGCGATTGGGTGGTCACTGACTTGGTTGACAAATGTCATTGTATCCCAATTGTGTAAATCGGTGCTCATACTGCTGATCACTGGATTGTTGCATCCAGACACGATTAATTACAGACAGCCGCCATACAGCTGGAATTGCTGAGAGCGGTGTTTCACACCAAACAAACTTCACTTTCCTCAAATATTGGCAGACATACATATATATATATACTGCTAGGGGGAGTTCAACTCACTTACTCATGTCTGACACACTGGAGTTTATGGTTATGGGGGTCATACTTGGTTTGATGTTATGACGGCTGGGAACATAAGAAAACTGCTTCATACACACACACATGTGTGGACTTAAACCTTGGTCCAATAACACCCGTGGGAATATGTGTCTTACACTGCTGTAGTAAACTCTAGGTTTGTTGTTTACTGGGTCATTGAACAATATTTCATCCGTACCAGACAATGTTAATACTTTCATGAATGTAACTGCAAATGATTATTATATATAAATGATATTAAATTAGGATAATGAATACTGGTTTGCAATTTTTTTAACTGGTTAGAAATGCTAATCAAACCAGTTATCTGAGTATTCATGACATGCCTGTTTATAAGCGTTATTGTTGCTAATTGCTGTGATCAGTCTTCACCCTAGTAATCATGGTAATCCTAGGTGAAAGTATTAACATGTCATCTGTCATTACAGAAGTCATCAGGGTAATCACTGGGTAAAGTAATTCTTCCTGGCTGCCTTGACAAAATCACTGACGTTTATGCTGTTAAGCCCTAATGACTCGTCTGTACTGGTACAGAGAGCACCTGCATGACTGGCCTGTACTGGTATAGGGAGCACCTGCATGACTGGCCTGTACTGGTACAGGGAGCACCTGCATGACTTGCCTGTACTGGTACAAGGAGCACCTGCATGACTGGCCTGTACTGGTACAAGGAGCACCTGCATGACTGGCCTGTACTGGTATAGGGAGCACCTGCATGAATGGCCTGTACTGGTATAGAGAGCATGACTTGCCTGTACTGGTATAGGGAGCACGTGCATGACTTGCCTGTACTGGTATAGAGAGCATGACTGGCCTGTACTGGTACAAGGGAGCACCTGCATGACTTGCCTGTACTGGTATAGGGAGCACCTGCATGACTGGCCTGTACTGATATAGGGAGCACCTGCATGACTGGCCTGTACTGGTATAGGGAACACCTGCATGACTTGCCTGTACTGGTATAGGGAGCACCTGCATGACTGGCCTGTACTGGTACAAGGAGCACCTGCATGACCTGCCTGTACTGGTACAAGGAGCACCTGCATGACTGGCCTGTACTGGTACAAGGAGTACCTGCATGACTGGCCTTTACTGGTATAGGGAATACCTGCATGACTTGCCTGTACTGGTATAGGGAGCACCTGCATGACTTTCCTGTACTGGTATAAGGAGCACCTGCATGACTGGCCTGTACTGGTACAAGGAGCACCTGCATGACTGGCCTGTACTGGTATAGGGAGCACCTGCATGACTGGCCTGTACTGGTATAGGGAGCACCTGCATGAATGGCCTGTACTGGTACAAGGAGCACCTGCATGACTTTCCTGTAAGGAGCACCTGGTATAACTGGGTATAGGGAGCACCTGCATGACTGGCCTGCACTGGACTAGGGAGCACCTGCATGAATGGCCTGTACTGCCTGGTATAAGGAGCACCTGCATGACTGGCCTGTACTGGTACAAGGAGCACCTGCATGACTGGCCTGTACTGGTATAGGGAGCACCTGCATGACTGGCCTGTACTGGTACAAGGAGCACCTGCATGACTGGCCTGTACTGGTATAGGGAGCACCTGCATGACTGGCCTGTACTGACATATCACAACTATATTTACTTTCATGACAGGGCCACCAAATATTATCTTTGTGTGCCATGAGCAAGTAAGTTAGATTTAATGCCGCTTTAAACATTATTCCAGTTACATCATGGCTGTCTGTTTCATGTGGGATGAATTGCTGAATAGATGAAGGTCTTAAATGTCGTCCACTCAGGTGAGCACCTAAGAGTATTGGGCTGACAAAACTAGAAACATTGACAACTAAGAGAATTATGACATCTGTTTTATATAGACGTCATAATTACACTGCATATAAATTTAAAATAGCTCTATTTTGAAATTTACAAAAATAAATACACAGAAAAATGACTTTTCCCTCCAAATTAGTACTTCTCATTTCTGTGATTAATTGACAACAACTCCCTGCCACGGTGTGATGACATTTTAGGACAGGGTCAAGTCTCCAAGGTCTCCATATGGTCGCAGTAATTAGCATCACCAGACAAACATACATAAACAATACAGTAGGCTAACAAAGATGTGCATGCACAGGCGACTTTGTGAAACTTACAGGGACAGCAACTGGTGTGAAGAAATTCCCAGGTCTGATACAAGCATCCAACAAAAAGCATTCACCTGACAGCCTGATTATCTAAATACCGCAGTGGTTCGAACATGATGACCTAGAGCCACTTGGCTCACATGTGCTTGTGTTACATGTGTCGTACTGCACAGATTATGTGTACATGTGAAAGTGGCCCAGTGTGACCCATCGCAGAGAGATACTTGTCCCTGCACCATGTGGCTTAAGTTTCACCCCTATCCCTTCTCCAGCAACTCCATCCCAAATACACAGGCACCAAAAGACGGCACAGTGCTGTAAACACTACTGAAGGACACTTAGAATAAATTTAATATAATAGATTAAAAACATAAATCAAGATATACAGTTTATAAGCAAAGTTTGTAATTAGATGATTGAATTGTGTTTCAAAATCCAGATTTAACGTGGTATTTGGGGTGCAACATGCTCATGGTAATGAATTTGTATTCAAATAAATGGAATTTCCTAGTAACAGTCTCGGTTCTCCAGTTGCATCCAATGTCCTCTTCTCTAGGGAGGCTTATGTAATCAAGATGGAGAATCAGCAAGAAAGCAGAAAAACAACTTCAAGCAATCACTGCCATAAAGCCACAATAACTTCAGAAAATAAATGACCACAATCACGGCCTCAGACGTCCTTATTTCATTTAACGTGTTCCAAATTTTTCTGCATGAGGACCCATAAAACCATTGGAGGTGTTCTCCCTTCCCTTGACAACACTGCATTTGGTACCCAGTTTGGGCACCGGTGATTGGACACAGGTCACCCATTCATATCTAACTGCATGGGCTCAGAAATGATTCCTACACCTGCAACTTATTTCTAGTTAAAAATACTCTTGCTAAAATATTAATACACAAACGGTGGGGAAAACTAAATCAGTTGTAGCATTCCTTATTCAAAAGGTATATTGTTAATATTCAACTCACACGCCTTGCAAATAACACTGACAATGGAGGAGTTTTACTGCCTTTGTGAAATCAAGGATGATCCTTTCACTGTCCAATGAAGCACACAGCAGGACATAGGGAACATCATGGCATACCCTTGTGCAACAGCACTGATTCCAAGCCCTTTGTGACATTATCATTAAATATGCATGAGTTTCTGTCATAACTTGCTCCAAGCAGTTGAAAAGGACCTGTTACCAAAACACTGTCAAGGCTCAGACTTCAAACTGTGTATGACAACCAATGGCTTGACAACAAACTGTGTACGATAACCAAAGGCTTGACAACAAACTGTGTACGATAACTAAAGGCCTGACATCAAACTGTGTATGATAACCAAAGACTAGACATCAAAATGGGTATGTGTATGATAACATCAAAATGGGTAGACTAAAGGCCTGACATCTGTGTATGATAACTAAAGGCCTGTACTGATGAATCTAAAGGTACGATAACTAAAGGCCTGACATCAAACTGTGTATGATAACCAAAGGCCTGACATCAAACTGTGTATGATAACTAAAAGGTATGATAACCAAAGACTAGACATCAAACTGTGTATGATAACTAAAGGCCTGACATCAAACTGTGTATGATAACCAAAGACTAGACATCAAAATGGGTATGATAACTAAAGGCCTGACATCAAACTGTGTATGATAACTAAAGGCCTGACATCAAACTGTGTACGATAACTAAAGGCCTGACATCAAACTGTGTATGATAACCAAAGGCCTGACATCAAACTGTGTATGATAACTAAAGGCCTGACATCAAACTGTGTATGATAACCAATGACTAGACATCAAACTGTGTATGATAACCAAAGACTAGACATCAAACTGTGTATGATAACCAAAGGCTTGACATCAAACTGTGTATGATAACCAAAGACTTGACAACAAACTGTGTATGATAACCAATGGCT